CACCACCCCGCCCACCCCACCACCCCGCCCACCACCCCGACCACCACACCACCCATGGCCGAACACGCCGCGTCCGCCCCGCTCGAGTGCCAGCTGGGACTGGTGCCGGCCACCACGCCCGTAGCCAACCCGGCCACCGGCGCGGTGTACGACTTGCTCAACATTGTGCCCTGGCTCCGCCGCCACGGCACCGATCCGGTCTCCGGCACTCCTTGCGCCCCGCAGGATCTGCTCCGCCTTCATGTTGCCAGGGCCGACGACGCTGCCCAGACTCCCATCTGCCCGCTCACACACGAGCCGTTCCTCTCCTCCTCTACCATCGTCGCCCTCCGCACAAACGGCCGCGTCTACTCACTATCGGGCCTCCGCGCCGTCGCCATCGCCCCCGCCGCCGCGACAGGCGCCCCGCCTGCGGACCCGACCGACGGCTCGCCGTTTGACCCCGAGTCGGATCTGCTTGTCTTGCAAGATCCCAAGCGCCCGGCCGGCCGCCCGGAACCGTCGGCACAGCCCACGGCTGAGACTCGGGCCGAGTCGGCACCGGCGCCCGCCCGGCCAGCATCGGCCGCGAGCTCAACCTCAACCTCGACCTCGACCTCGCACACCAACGTCGGGTACATGGCGGCGTCGCTGACTTCGTCGGCGATGGCGCCGGTGACGGTCGGCCAGCGGGTGGAGGAGAAGACACCCCAGGTGGCCAAGACGCGCGGCAAGTGCTACGTCCGGCTGGTCACCTCGCTCGGCGACCTCAACTTGGAGATCCGCTCGGACTCGGTCCCACTCGCTGCCTACAACTTTGTGACCCACTGCACCAACGGGTTCTACGACGGCACCAAGTTCCACCGGCTCATCCCGCGGTTCATGATTCAGGGCGGCGACCCGAGCTCGACTGGCTCGGGCGGCGCCTCCGTCTACGGGCAGCCCTTTGCCGACGAGTTCCGCGGCAAGTTGACCCACGATGCACGCGGCGTCGTTGCCATGGCCAACAAGGGCCCGAACACCAACACATCCCAGTTCTTCATCACCTTTAACTCGGCCCACCACCTCGACAACAAGCACACCGTCTTTGGCCGCGTCGTCGGCGGCGGTCCTGTTCTCGACATGATGGAGGCCATGCCGACCGTCCCCGACTCGGACACCCCGCTCCAAGACATCGTCATCCGCTCCACGCCAGTTTTTGTCAACGCCTTTGCTGACGAGGCTGCCGCCAAGGTCAAGGCCACAGCGCCCGCGTCCGCCGACGCTGCCGCCCGACCTGCGCCCGTCGACCCGCTCGCCATCGGTCGCTACCTCGCCACACCGCCATCGTCCGATGATCCGGCCAAGGTCAAGACCAAGGCCAAGGGGAAGGCCAAGGGGAAGGCCAAGGCCAAGGTCAAGGTCAAGGACAAGGACAAGGCCAAGGGGAAGAACAAGCGCCGCCGCGAAGACGAGCCGCCGTCGCCCGCCGCACCCGCCGACCCGGCGCTCCTCGCCCGCCTCGCCAAGCGGCTCAAGCCCTCGTCACACCTCTCCGACTTTTCGGCGTGGTAGTCGTCAGCGTGTCAGCGGCACTACTTGCCTCTCCTCCGTCCACCGCCGCCAAGCCCCTGCCCGCCGCCTCTGCCTGCTCCGAGCTGTGGCACGCACCCGCACCCACCCTCGCCACCCACCCATAACACGCCCGGCCGTCCATCATGGCCACCTCCGCCCGGTCGGCCCCCGCCCGCGCCCCGCCGGTTCAGCAGCCTGTGGCGCTGTGCCACGGCTACATGGGCTTTGGCAAGCTCGCGTTCATGCCGTACTTCCACCCCAAGCTGGTGGCCTTGGTCGAGGCCGCCTCGCCGTATCCCGTCACCCGCCCGGTGGTCTCACCACTCGAGGGCATTGCCGTTCGAGCCGGACAGCTGGCGGACGCGCTGCGGGCGGCGCGGGCCGAGATGGGCGATGAATCGCTGAGGTTCAATGTGGTGGCCCACTCGATGGCCGGCCTCGACGTCCGCTATCTCATCGCCCACCTCGGCGGCGACGAGCTGGTTGCCTCGCTCACCACCCTCGGCACGCCGCACCGCGGATCGGCGGTGGCCGACGTGCTTGCGGGCTCGCTGGAGGCCTCGGCGACCATCGAGCGCATTGTAAGCTGGCTCGGCATCTCGACCGACGGCCTCCGCGATCTAACCACGGCTGCGACTGCGGCGTTTAACGCCGCCGTTCCGAACTCGCCGCGGGTCCTTTACTTTTCAGTCGCCTCGTACGACGACCCGTCGCCAATGCACCCGTATGCGGTGACCTCGCGGATGCTGCGTGCCGCGGCACCGTCGGATCCGCGCAGTACTACCGGCCGTACCGGCTCGCGCGTCGTGGCCACGCCGGGCTCCTCGGCGCCGCGCGACCACTTTGACTCGGACGGGCTCGTCACTGTCGCCTCGGCCAAGTGGGGCAAGCTCATCGGCATCTTTCCCGAGGTCAACCACACCGACCTCATGGGCTTTCCGCGGCTCCGGCCCAAGGTCGTCGACATCTACAAGGCCGTCCTCGCCAACCTCGAGCGCCACGGCCTGTGACCTCGCTTCCTCTCGCCGCAGTGCGAGCGAGCTAGGCAGGCGCAAGTGCTTTATCGCATGTACTCTGCTACAGGTCCATGGCAGCAGGACCCTCGGTAGCACCCGGAGCCGGCGCCTGGTGGAACATAAACTGCGACTCGTACTCGTTGAGGAACGAGGTGGAGCGGTTGACGTCAAAGAACAGCTGGTACACCTTCTTGATGTCGTCGACGTCGACCTCGGTGGCGCGGCGCTTGACGGCCACGAGGTGGGCGGCAGTGATCATGTGGATAGCGTAGCGGAGTGAGGTCTCGAGGCCAATGCGGGTGAGCAGGTCGAGGGCGGTGTCCGACATGTCGACGTCTTCTTCGGTGGCGCGGATCTCGAGGATCTTCTTGATCTCGGCCTCCGAGTACGGCGAGGTCGAGATGATGAGCAGGCGGTCGAGGAGGTCGATGGGGATGCCGTGCGGCGAGGTGTAGTCGGTCCCGCGGATGGTGGTGATGCCGCGGTTGGTGGCGAGGATGACAATCGGCGCCATCTCGTTCTCAAGCGCGCGGTTGAGGAAGGAGAAGCACTCGATGTCGAGCATGTGGACCTCGTCGATGAACAGGACGCCCGGCACAATCTCGGCCTTGCCCTCCTCGCGCCACTCGGCAACCTTGAGATCGATCTGGTCGCGGACCTCGGGCTTGATCTCGCCGGTGTCGCCGGCAAAGAGTGCGAGGAAGCCCTGCGAGCGCGAGTTGATGACGTCGATGTCGTGAAGCGAGACCGTGTGCACCACCTCCTTGCGCGACTGGAGCTCGCCCTCGGGCGTCGGCACAAACCGCGTCGTCGTGCCCATCGCATCGTAGTCGCGCGAGCGCGAGAACGACCGCCCGAGCTTGGTCACCTTGCCGGTCGCCTTGTCGATGGAAATCACGTCGCCGGCCTGCACCTTCTCCTTAGTCAGCGCCTCGATCATCTTGGCCCCGAGATCATACAGCGTCTCCATGTCAGTCGTCTTGAGCGTGAGCTTGCCGACCTTGGCGCCCGTGCCAGCCGACGGCCGGTCGATGAGAATCTCCACCACCTCGCCCTCGATCAGCACCGTCTCCTCCTTGATCCGCACCCCAATCGACCGCCGGAACGCCTGCGTCAGCGCCTCCGTCCGCGACATCTCGAGCGAGAAAATCTCGGAACCCGAAAGCATCGTAAACGGCGTCTCCGGCCCGAGCGCCTGCGACATGCCCATGGCAATCGCAGTCTTGCCCGTCCCGGGTGCACCGGCCAGCAGCACTGCCCGCCCGGCAATCTCTCCCTTGAGAATCATCTGCACAACCACGCCCGCTGCACGCCGCGCCTTCTGCTGGCCCACCATCCCGTGCGAGACCTTGTGCGCCTCCAGCGAGTCGTCCAGCCCCAGCCCGCGGATGTGCGAGTGCGCCCCGATCCGCTCGATCCGCGTCACGTCCTTGGCCTCCATGATCTTGGACGCCTCCTGCAAACCCCACCGCACACATCCTCTGGTGAGACTGGGCCTCCCCACCTACCCCGCTACCCACCCACCCCTTTGCCCACCTCTCCTCCGTTCGTCTGTCCCCCCCCCGCCTTCTCCTCCCCACCCCCGCCCGCCACCCCCCCCCTTTGCCCTTCCTCCCCACCCGCACACAGCGCGGGATGCGACCCCTCGTCCCCCCCCCTCCCCCCCTCCCCCTCCCCCCCCCCCAAACAGACACCCCTACCCTCACCCTCACCCCCACCCCACACCTACAATATCCATGGGTGCTGCCGAGGCTGCCATGGTTCGTGACCTACGACAAGTGTACCCCCTTACCCCTCCCCTCCCCCCTCTTCCCCACTGCG